GAGACAGTGAACGGGGGAGACAAAGAACGGCATCCAAATCCAAACAGGTCCAAAGGCAGGTCAGGGCACAGTCCGGGAGTCCAGCGGCGAGTAATCCATCCTGGGACACGACAAGGTTAAAATCCCCGGGAGGGGGGAACACACGGAGAGACAAGACACGGAGGTCCAGGGGTGACGGGGCGGGATCCTCCAGACCCCGGGCTCAGGAAGCGGGAGGTGTCGGGGATGAGGCCTCTGCCCTCAGGAGACAGATGTAGGGTATCCTGGTGCCAGGGGGGCCTCGTGACATCCGTACCCTAATGTTGAGCCCCGAGGACTGGAGGAGCTGGTCTTTAAATAATACACATAACAAGGTACACCTGGGGAGTTAGCAACAATTACAGGAACAATAACGAGAGGAGCGCCCTCTAGGGAGGGATGCCGGGCGTGACACTGACTCTCCATGACAGGGCGAGGAGCTCGGCAATCCGGGAGAGCCTCAGAGCAGAGGCGCTGCTCCTCCAGATCGAGAGGAGCCGGTGGAGGTGGTTTGGGCGTCTCATTGGGACGCCCCCCCGGTCAGCTCCCGCTAGAGCTGTCCCAAGCACGTCCCGCTGGGCGGAGACCCCGTGGGAGACCCAGGACACCCTGGGGGGATTATATCTCTCGGCTGGCTTGGGACCCTCACCAGGAAAAGCGGAGTGAAAATGGGTGGACAGATGGCTCAGTTAGACAGTCTGGAAATGTATTGGCTATTGGCTTGGATTTGGTACTGTGAGCGGGCCAGGGTAGAAATCAGCTGTCTGTTTCATGTTGCGTGTGCTGGTCATACTGAACTTCAAAGACTATAGCAACCTAAAAAAGCACGTATTATGAAAATAGACGAGCTGTTTCGTTTTTCCTCTACTGTGGGCGGTGGTCAATCTGAATCTCGGCTGGGGAGCTGTCCTTTGTGCTTGGATATTGAGTGGCGGTGTGGCTGAGTTCAGATTGCCTTTCGGCGTGTTCACTGCTGGTTTGTCTCAGTCGCTGTGCAAGTGACAGGTCACAGTGACCCCTGTATGTACATTTTATATATGTAATATCACTCTTCTGGCTCTCCACTCAAAGGGCTTTACAGGTAATGGGGGCTCTCCTCCATCACCACCCGTGTGTAGCCCCACCTGGATGATGCGACGGCAGCCATAGTGCACCAGTACACTCCCCACACACCAGCTCTCAGTGAGGTGGAGAGCAGAGTGGTGAATCCAATTCATATCTGGACATTTGTTTGTGCGATTTCTGGCTACAACACTGCAATGGGGGAATTTCCTGTTCAGTAGATATTCACACATCTGGAACAGAGTCCCAGCTTGGTAATAAACAGTGTTGTTGGTTCAATACAATTCTGATGACCCCTCCCCCCTCTCTCTCTCTCTCCATCCAGGCCTGAGCCCCAGCAGAAAGTCCCATCAGCACCCCCTCCTCCCCCACCCCCTCCGCCCCCTCCAGAGCCGGCCGCTCCGCCTGAGCCGGAGGAGGAGATCCTGGGCTCCGACGATGAGGAGCAGGAAGACCCGGCCGATTACTGCAAAGGTCAGG